GCACCGGGGCGTCTCCCTTCCGCCTTGCCCCCGAGGGTTGCTTTGCCCGGCTCGGCCGGGAAGGGGCGGAAGTACGTGCCGCGCCCTTCGGCATGCAATTGGCCCGGTTCCTCTGCAGTGTGTTTTTCTACCCCTCTTTTTCGGCTTCCGCCCAACCCCGAAGCCCAGCACGAGGGGGTGGCGCGGCCTCCGGGAAGCGCAGCCGTCCTCCCACCGCGGGCTCGGCGGTAAAACGGATCCGGTTAAGGCGCCCAGGTGGCTTTTCCACCGGCCCCGGCGCTTGTGGAAAGCGAAAGGCGCTCGGCAAGGCATGGCCGCTAGACCGGGCAGCGTTTGCACAAGTAAAAAGGTTGTATGGCTAAGAAAAAGCGCGAGGGGCGCCGATACGCACCCGCGAAGTTGGCAGCACATGGCCTGGCGGCGTTCCTCCGTTGTGTGGCCGCGGCCCCCCGCTGGCGCCCACACCCCCCCGCCACCGCCGTCGCGGGGTGCTGCCGCGTTTGTTCGGGATTTGGCGCGGCTGAAGCCCGAGGTTTCACCATTCGATTCAAATCTGAAGAAATATCGCTATCGGACCCGGGGGGCCAAGCTTGACGGCGGCGGTGGGTCTCCTAAAAGGGGCGCCTTCAGTGCATTGAAACCCATTTGGTTTGTCTGCCGGCGGGGGGGCCCGCCAAAAGCACCGCACCGATCCCCCAGCGGGGGGCAAACGTGGCATTTTTCACAGAAAAGAAGGGCGATGAGTTTGCGCGGGGCCGCCGCCAAATGCATTGCGCTTCTGTGAGGCCACCGCGCTGCGCGTCCACGCTGGCTGTCGTTTTATGTTTTTTTGCGGGATTGTTTTTGACCCCAACGTGCGGTCTACGGTGATCGCGCTGTTTCTTGGCACTCAAAGGAATAATGATTTCCTTCAACTTCAAGTGAACTTCTTCCCTGGTAGGGTGTGAGCCCGATCTGCCCCACGTTCCTTCCAGTCAAAAGGGTGATTTGCCTTCTCTTTTGTCTCTTATTCGTTGTTGTAGTAGCTTTAAATAATTTTTTTTTTCAACGATGAAGGCAAAATGGCTAATATTTGTCGTGGTGCTTGTTTTCAGTGTTGCCCATGTGCAGGCGGACAACTGTGTTGTTGGAAACAATAGTTTGGAAGGGCCTATGTCCCTGGAATATCTTACACGGTATGGGAACGTTACTGTTGTCTTGGGTGATGAAGAGCGCATTGCTGGTGTAAGCTTTTGTCAACCATCTGACTTTTTTTCTGATGGTACCGCATGCGGCTCTGGGTACATGATTCTGTATGGTGAAGGATGTGGTGTTGTCTTTCGTTCGTCCGGCAAACTTCAACGCGAAAAGAAGAGTATCTTTTTTAATCTAAGTTCGCAGGTGAACGTCACGGCGGATGTCCACGTGGATTGTGACGAAAAAGCAGACGTCTTACATTTCTTGGACGCCAATGTGACGGAGGAGGATAGATATGTCTTTCATTTTGCTTCAGTGACAGTTTGTCCTGCTTACGATTCCAATGGCAACCGTGATTTCCTTTCTAAAGGTGCTATTGTCGCCATTGTATCGGGAATAGTAGGAATTGTTGTTGCTGCAGCCGCCATTTTTCAATGGAAGTCGAAAAGTCGTTCGGGCGATGATT